AAAAAAAAAAAAACGATGAAACATGAAAAACTGTATAGCTTTACACTATTTCCTTGTTTCTGTTTTCGTCTTTTGTGGCTATGGTTTGTATTTTTGGATTCTGTTTCAGTTTTGCGGTTTAATTTTTTTTTTTTGAGTGTGTTTCCTGTTGGGGATGCTTATTTCAGTTTTGGGATTTGTGTTTCTGTTTTCTGGTAGTGTTTTTCTGTTTCGGGTTTCCTATTTTGTCTTATGTGTTTCTGTTTTGGGTTTGTTCTTTCCTATTTCTGTTGTTGTTGTTGTTGTTGTTGTCTTGTGGTTTTTTTGTTTCTATCGGCCACCCTATATATTTGATAGTCCTCTGCATTTAAATCCAACCACTGGAAAACACTTCAAAACTCCGTTGAAAATTTCTTCACAGGTATCAAATCGTCCAGGTAAGAAATAATCTCCTTTAACTTGGAATTAATTTTTCTTATCAGATATTTCTGCAAGGTTTATTTTGATTTCCTGCTGTAGTTTTTTCCCTCTTTTTTTTACTTAGAAATAATTAATGATAAGTTTAGACCGGTTTGCGACCGCGAAGTAAAGTATGTTTGTTCCATGTTAAGCAAAACTTCCGACTAGAATATTGTTTCAGCCGATTTGTGTTTCTCTACCTTCGTTGTCTCCCTTTTCCGCTTCTCTCTTCCAATTCCTTTTCACCTCCCCCCCCTCCTCCAAACCCCCCACCCCTACCCCTCCTCAGGCAATCAACGCCGGATATTCAGGATAATCTGTGTTAAATGTGGATCTCTCATGTTGTAGACGTCACAGATTTATAATCATTTTCATTTATATGACAATAGCTAACGAAGAAAGACCTGCTTTGTACGTAATTTTGTGAAACTAAGTCTTGCATCGGTTGATAAGAAATTGAGGTCATGAACTTAATTAGTCAAGAGATCTTTCCCCAAACAGCTGCCTTTTAAATTTTTCAATGTGCATTGGGACTATATAAATTGTATTGTCAGAAAGGTTTTCAGGAAAATTACGGTTTATGAATTAAATCGCTTTTATTTCTGCTCTATGTAAGGCAAACAATTTAAAATTTGTTGTGGTTTTCTAGTTTGTGGTCTCTCTGAATTTTGCACGTAATGTTATTGTCGCCGGGCAGCGGAGTCATTTTTAAGGATTAGACCAAGCCCCATTTCTCTGGACTTAACCTGTGTACAGCCGCTCCCTCCTGTCAGAAAAAAAACAAAAAACATTTTTTTTAGTAACGGGAGGGCGGCTATACACGGGCTATTTGGACTGAAACATTTCATGTAAACTAGATGGGGAGAGGGTTATGGCTATCAACAATAGAACCATCAAAGCATGGCTGCATAGTGAGAAAGCCGTGTAACCTTCGTATTTTCCTCTTGGTGTTTAGATAACAAGGTCTGCACTTTCTACTCATGTAAGAATTTTATAAAGAAGTGGAATCCGAAGATAATTGGACTTACTTCGGGCCTTTAGCGGTTTCTTTTGCCATCCTTGCACGATCATACGATCATGAAACCAAACAATAAGGTCACAAACAGGGCACAAACTATAGAAATATTTCTTTTTATTATATAAACATCAATGAAATACAAGGTGAGCTTTCACGCAAAAACATGATCTTCTGAAAAGATCACCGTTGCTATGGCTACATAAGAAATCGCGCCTTTCGCAGGAAAAAAGTGTCTAACTGAAATGGTTTTGTATTTCATTGGTGTTTATATAATAAATAGAACATTACATAGCCGCTTGGAGATACGAAATTTCTCTCCTCGTGTTGAAGATATTTCACTCGAAGAGAAATTTCTTATCTCCGCACGGCCATGTAATATCCTCTATTTGCTACATATTCTGCCATAAAAACCTTAGGGATAGAAATGCTCCGATCCATACATTAAAGGTGAATTATTCAAAACCCTCAAAATTGAGGGAAAAGCGACCTCAGAAAACCCGGCCCAAAAAGGCTGATCTATATACCTCACACCAAAACAGGGACAATCGAGCTAAAACATTGGCATAATGTATAAGTCTCCATGATAGTAACTAAGTGTACCAAATTTGAACATAATCGACCAACACCTATTTCCAATCCTCCCTCAGGCAGAAGCTCTCAACTATATTTTCATTTGGTATCACAGGAGTTTCAAATTTGTACTTAATGAAACCTTTCTTGTTTTCTGAATATTTAAGTAGGGTACAAAGGAGATTTTTTTACTTTCAACTAANACCAAATTTGAACATAATCGACCAACACCTATTTCCAATCCTCCCTCAGGCAGAAGCTCTCAACTATATTTTCATTTGGTATCACAGGAGTTTCAAATTTGTACTTAATGAAACCTTTCTTGTTTTCTGAATATTTAAGTAGGGTACAAAGGAGATTTTTTTACTTTCAACTAAGTTTATAGAAAGAAGTTTAAACGGAATCTGCTTGAAATCTTGCGTTATAACACAAATATTAAGAAACTGACAAAAAAATTCAGAAGATTTGTCAGTTAGAGTAAATCTAGGGTGGAAGGTGTGGAAAGTTCTAGCGGCCTTATCGGTCTAATGGGAACATATTCTAAGATTTCAAATGTATTAATGAGAATTATTTTTGTTTTTTCTCTACCTCCACGCTCCTTTAAAGAAGCATTAAGCCCAAGAAACAGTTCCACTTTGAATACTAAAACTTCGAAATGGCAGAAAGAATACTACAAGATATAGCTGAACAAAAAAAGCGTCTTGAAATAGCGCAAATCAATAAAAACACGGAAGAGAAAGCAGATGCCTACTACAATCTAGCCAGAGCTTATTCATTCCTCAGTGACTTTCATCAAGAAATAGAGTACCTCAAGCAATACCTGAGCATAGCTGAGGAAGTCGGTGACAGAGCAGGATCAGCAGGATGGGCCTATAACAATCTCGGCTGTGCTTACGATTCACTCGGTGACTCCCAAAGAGCAATAGAGTACCACAATCAACACCTCAGGATTGCCAAGGAAGTCGGTAACAGGGCAGGTGAAGGATGTGCCTATGGAAACCTCGGTCTTGCTTATCACAACCTTGAAGAATTCCAACGAGCAATAGAGTACCAGAATCAACACCTCAGCATTGCCAAGGAAGTTGGTAACAGGGCATGTGAAGGCAAAGCCTATGGCAGTCTCGGCGATGTTTATCACAGCCTTAAAGAATTCCAACGAGCAATAGAATACAACAATCAACACCTCAGCATTGCCAAGGACGTTGGTGACAGGGCAAGTGAAGGCAAAGCCTATGGCAATCTCGGCAATGTTTATCACAGCCTTGAAGAATTCCAACGAGCAATAGAATACCACAATCAACACCTCAGCATTGCCAAGGAAGTTGGTGACAGGGCAAGTCAAGGCAGAGCCTATGGCAATCTCGGCAATACTTATTCCGTTCTTGGGGAAGACCAACGAGAGTAGAGTACGCCGAGAAATACCTCACCATTGCCAAGGAAGGTGGTAACAAGGCAGAGGAAGGCAGAGCCTATTTCAATCTCGGCCTTGCTTATATCCGCCTTGAAAACTTCCCACTAGCAATGGAGTGCCACAAGAAACACCTGAGCATTGCCAAGGAAGTCGGTGACAGAAAAGAAAAAGGACGTGCGTATTTACACATCGGCGACGTTCATAGATCCCTCGGCGACGTGCAACGAGCAATGGAGTACTTCAAGCAATGCCTGAGCAATGCCAAGGAAATCGGTGACAGGGAAGGACAAGTAGGTGCCTATTGCCACCTCGGGAAATGTTATAGAGATCTCCACGACTTGAAGGAAGCAATAGAGTGTTACAAGCAACACCTGAGAATTGCCGAGGAGATCGGTAACAGGAGAGCAGAAGCATGTGCACATCGCGGTCTGGGTCACTCTTTTTTTGAATCACATTCTTTGAATGAGGCTTTAGAACATTATAGATGCTGTGTTAAAATCTATGACACTATTAGATCCAATTCTATCTCGGAAGATCAATTGAAAATAAGTTTTCGTGCGAGTAAGAGAGATGCCTATACTCACTTATGGCAAGTTTTAGTAATGCTTCAAAGGAATGATGAGGCTTTATACACTGCTGAGAGGGGACGAGCACAGGCTTTGCTTGATGCCTTAAAAGTAACTTATGGTCTTACATCACTTTCTCCCAGGTCAATTGAATCTGAAGAAAAAGTTAGAAATATTTCAAGGAAGACAACTGTTTTAACAGTTTTCCTTGCCCTGCACGAGAAAACAGTCAATATCTGGGTGTTGGGAAAAGAGGACAAACCTATTTTTAGGCAAGAGAAGATAGAAATTGGACTTGAACACGAAGATTCCTTTACTCTCCTTTTAGAGAATGTTTTGAAAGACATTAGGGCTGGCGTCGGTATTAGGTGCGAAAATCGGTCAATGGATAGGCTGAGTGATGACTCAACTCCCTCAAGTACTCAAGACGACAATCAAACATCGGAGCTATCACAGGAGAGCACCGACAGGGCTGGCGTCGGTATTAGGTGCGAAAATCGGGGCGAATTACAGCCATTATATGGTGCAGTTCTTGGTCCCATTAAAGACTTGCTTGATGGTGATAAACTAATTGTAGTTCCTGATGGCGCTTTGTCTAAATTTCCTTGGGCAGCCCTGAGTGAAACTTTAAGGATCCGGACTGTTCCCTCACTGACAAGTTTGAAAGTCATCACAGATTCTCCAAGTGAATACCACAGTAAAAGTGGAGCCCTGCTTGTTGGAGATCCATGCTTGAAGAAAATTACAGATAAATGGGGGAACCCCATTTATGATCCTCTGAACTACGCAAGAATGGAAGTGGAGATGATTGGAGAAATTCTAAAGATTCAACCTTTAACAGGTGAAGATGCAACCAAAGAAGCTACACTACAGAGAATCGCGTCAGTTTCTTTGGTTCACATCGCAGCCCACGGAAGGAAGGAAACTGGAGAAATTGTTTTGGCTCCAGACCCCCGATGGGGATCCAAGACTCCTACGGAGGAGGACTATATTTTGAAAATGTCTGATATCCAAGCTGTGAAGCTGAGAGCAAGGCTAGTTGTGTTAAGTTGTTGCCATAGTGGTCAAGGACCGGTCTCGTCTGAGGGTGTGGTCGGTATGGCACGTGCTTTCTTGTTTGCAGGTGCTCGTTCCGTGCTGTCGACACTCTGGGCAATTGATGACGAAGCCACAATGATGTTTATGAAATCTTTCTATCAACAACTTGCAAGCGGAGAAAGTGCAAGTGTTGCTCTTCAGAGGGCCATGAAATGTCTTCGAGACTCCCACGATTATTCTGCTCCAAAGTACTGGGCTCCTTTTATTCTGATGGGCGATGACATTAAGATTGAATTGGAAAAAGAGTCATTGAGCAAGTCGTAAGTGGAGATTTTTTTTTCTTGCTGTTCTAGTAACAGAATGCTTAAGAAGAAAAGCTAGAACCATTCTTGTCAAATTCAGATAAAAGGAAAATGACAGACTTGATAATGAAAGGAATAAAAATATGTACAAAGTAAGGATGGGTAGGGTGGTAAGTGTTAAATTATTATGGATTCACTCAAGTAAATGTTATTCCTGGCGGGATACCAACTCATTTCAAAAATCAATTGAACACTAGGCATTGCTTAATGTTCTTAATTGTTAAATTGTTTAGGTCAGGGTGGATAAAAGATATACATAGGAATAAGTTTCCTACGTTTTTCTACAGGACTAGCAAATGACTATATGTAGAGAAATTCATAGCTTCAAAACGAACAAATATGTCTAACATGTTAAATGTTTTTCATTTTGCTATTTTTCATATCATCATCCATGGCATCCTAAAATTTAACGCTTTGACCTTTATTTTGTNCGAACAAATATGTCTAACATGTTAAATGTTTTTCATTTTGCTATTTTTCATATCATCATCCATGGCATCCTAAAATTTAACGCTTTGACCTTTATTTTGTTTTGAAATGAAAGATTAATTAATGTATCAATTGTTACTTTCTTTACAGGGATGCGCTGAAAGGTTGATGTCAACACAACTGCTGAAGTAGCGTGTTTAATAGCTGTCCTGAATGGGGCGTTTGGTAAAAAAGCGTGTTTTCATTTTAATCATTTTTTCTCAGAAAATATTAGAGAGATTTAGAGTTATGCTAACGGCAAACGTCTGCAGATTCAAGTTGAGAATTTCTCAAAATAGAAAATATGCAGATAAAATGAAAATAGCTCAAAGCAATTCTTATGGATAAAACTAACTTGAAACTAATAATTTTTTGTAGATTTAATTAACAGCAAAGGAGGAGTAAAGGGAACACTTGGTCACGCGGTACAAATTCACGGATTGCCGTAAACGTAACTCTTAATCTCTCTAATTAATAACATCAAAAAAAACGTTTTTAAATTAGCCACGGCTACACTTATCAGTTTCAACGTAGGAAAAAGACAATTAATTTTCGTGGGGAAAGAACTTAACGCTGTTTACGATTATTTCTTTACTCCCGCGAAACTGACTGAGTAGTACTATAGATGATTGCCCCTTTTCTCGACGTGTAACCTGCCTTAACCGGCAAATTATAATTTGGCAAAGGAAAATTGCATTGTAATAATCTTAACATTGATGATAATAATAATCGCCATCATCATAATCTTAATAATTCCTTTTCAGTTTTTTCCTCTCGGCTTTAAAGCAAATGACTGAAACAAATCATTCAAATTAATTTAACGTGGTTAACCCTCGGACGTACACGCAAATTCACACCCCAACCATGGTATTAAGGGGAGGGGCGGACGGAGCCCCTCCCAAGAGTTTTTGATAATTTGCAGTATTTCGAAACGATTTTTCCTGCAGTGGAAAGCTTTTGATCTACTCAACAAGATGAGGTTTATTTTTAATGGGTGGTGGCGCTGCTGGAGGCCTGTGACGTCACCAACAATGGTCGCCATCTTGGATTTCACCAAGAATTAGAAATCAGGTTAAAATCGCGATAAATGGTAATTTTCTGTGATTCAGATGTAAAATAACACATAAATATGCCCTTTGCATCATTCCATTGACAAGTTTTACTTTTATTGTTGAAAAAAGTTGTAAGAACAGGTATTTTCACTCAAAAATGGCTTGACCACCTGCTACTTATGACATCATATGTCGTAACCATAGTAACTGACCATCACTAAACTTGTCTCAAAATGCACGTGAGGGACAAACGAACGGCTACTGAAAACGTCGGGTGCTGATGTTTTATCATCTAAAAAAATAATTTAAAAAAACGTCAGGGGAGGGGGGTTGTACGTCCGAGGGTTAAGAATCCCAAGTCTCCTAACGGGACGGAAACGAACCAATTAAATATATACAAGCGTGGCCGTGGTTTCAGTAAGGTGATTCAGATTTTAATCAGATAATTTTAAGAATTTTAAGTATGCACTGTAAGTATTTTGTGCATTCTGAACCGTGATTCTGAACCGCGGGTCACATTTCAGTGGTTTAAGGTCTGGGTTAAAAGGGTGTATTACGTTTTATATGACTGATCCCCGGTTTCCCAGAATTAGTATTATTTTTTTTAAAAAAAATGAATATGTCCATGTCTTGTTGATCCTTAATGTATAAATTGGTGGACAGTACAAAATGCAGACTGCAGACTGACCGCAGACCATTGTTTTCAGGGTTAGAAGGCAATGGGACTATCAGTGGCTTCATAGCTTAGTTGGTTAGAGCGTCGTACCGGTATCGCGAGGACACGGGTTCAAATCCCGTTGAAGTCCTGATTTTTTTGTTTTCAGGCTTCTTATGCAATTGCATAAATTGCGTTTACAACTGCGAGGATCATTCTTCATTTGATTTCATTGCCGCAGTTCTCATATATGATTTATTTCATATGCATTTGTCAATGGGACGATTGTTGTCACGTTCCCATTTGCATGGTGAAAAAAATGTTTTGCACTGAGAGCAGTCTGCAGTCTTCATTTTATACTTATGTTATATATTGGGACACACATTGTGTCACTTAATTAAAACTGTTTTTAAATTCAAGTAAAATGGGATTTCAGGGACGAGTTTAACTTATATGGATAAATTATAAGCGTTTCATACAAAGAGTAAATATTTTGCCTTCCTCGTTTGGGAATGAATATACTCGTAGTTTTAATAGTAAGTTTTGGACGATACACCGAATAGCCTGCGTAGAGACAGGAGCGAGTGACCGCTGGCGAATTGGACCGTCTGAGAATCATTAGAGTGATTTTTGCCTTATTTTAATAACCCTTTTTCAGGAAAAGCGTTGCCAGATAGTCCTTCCATGCCTGCAAACAAAGAAAAAAGGGCCCGAAATCTAATTTTCATCCGAAAACAAGATTTATTTTCCTTCTCTATTTTCTCACCACCACTTCCTTGTAGAGCTGAATCTGCCTCTGTCTCTGCACTCGTAGACTATTTGTTCTGCCATTAAACTAGGTTTAACTCTTAATCTTGTTTCTTAATTACTGCGTGTCATTTCAATGATAAAAAACGTTTTCGTGTACTATTACTTTAGTGGTCCAACAGCTTTAATTGATGTCAACTTTGAAGTATCCAAACAGTGTGGAAGAGATTAGATTAAGATTTTGGACGCTCCAATAACTTAATGATGTTTTGTTGTATTTGCAGCTGTATTTGTGCTAGGTTGTAAAAGTTGGGCTTTTTATCAAATAGATCAGTTCCAGAACACGTACACAGCAACGCTCTGAGGTTTGGCGCTAGGAATCACAGCAATCGTTCAAGCTATCATCATTCTATCGAGGATCTGACCTATTTTTGCCGCCTCTAGATTGCCGGTTTCTCTAGGCCATTGATCTTTAGCCATCCCTCAGTTATTTAAAGAAGCTGCTTTAATTTAGGGACGTCACTATTAGAAAAAAAGGATAGGAGGTTGGGCGAAGGGAAACGCATTAGTAAGAAAAAAATCTCCACACGCACCATGATCAAACAAGGTGTTCGAGGAGGAAAAATAGATTTCCCGCCTCAGGAGTAAAAAGAAAACTTTCATAGACCTCCCAAAAATTCAACCCAGCCCATTTTCTTTCCTAATGGTTCATCCCTTATACCGCCCCATGTAACGGAATCCAGAATCTGAGAAAATTTGCATGTGGAATCCGGAATCCTGGGATTTGGAGTCCGGAGTACAGCTCAAAGAATCCGGACTCCCACTAGCAATTGGAATTGAGAATCCAAGTTCCACTGACAAAGACTGGAATGGAGTACCTGTAATCCGGAATCCGTGACGTGNGTGTTCGAGGAGGAAAAATAGATTTCCCGCCTCAGGAGTAAAAAGAAAACTTTCATAGACCTCCCAAAAATTCAACCCAGCCCATTTTCTTTCCTAATGGTTCATCCCTTATACCGCCCCATGTAACGGAATCCAGAATCTGAGAAAATTTGCATGTGGAATCCGGAATCCTGGGATTTGGAGTCCGGAGTACAGCTCAAAGAATCCGGACTCCCACTAGCAATTGGAATTGAGAATCCAAGTTCCACTGACAAAGACTGGAATGGAGTACCTGTAATCCGGAATCCGTGACGTGGAATCCAGAATCTCAGACTATCGTGGATTCTCTTACATAGGGTGACTTATAGGTCGGCTTGTTGAACTGCTTCTACTTGATCCCAACACGTTGCACGATACAATGTTTAGTTTGTAACCTTCAGAGAAGTAATGTTGTATTAAACCTGAAGAAAACGAGATGTTTACTGTGATTGGTGATCTCTTCGATGCCTTAAACCATTTTAAAACAACTTCTTATTGAATTGGAATAGTCAAAATTTGATTAACAAACCACTCCCCCCTTAAGGGCGCTAAACATTTTCGATTCTAGGACGTTTTTCACATATTTTAAGGCTAGTTTCTGATTCTGTCATAAAATTATCTGGCTACGTAAATCGGTTCTCAAGCAAGAAAATCCAACTTTCGAGTAGACGTTCGGGGAAAACCATTTGACCCGTGTTTGGCCATACAACGTCATAAGAAGCATAAAGGCACCAAAAACTCATTTCATTATATTTTCAAAGAGTACCATGGTAGTAACCCACAACCGTGCAACGGGTCTCTTGGCAGCCAAATGACTCAGTAAAACAAAAACCTGTTTAAACCGATTTTCGACATTCAGGGATGTACCTTTGAAACAGCATAGGAAACTTTTGTCCATATTTATCAAAACTAGAATTTCATCGTTAATCCAAGCAATCTTGCCACTTTCAATTGAAGCAGCACCGATCTAGAAAGTGGATCGTCTCAGATCGGATAGGTTTCTGTGCAACTCTTCATCGCAGTGTGAACGGGTAACGGGTATTCGAACCGTGGCGTAATAAAAGAGTAGGAGGGAGGACTGGAACCCAGAAAGACGGCAGAAAATATTAAGCGTAAGTG